TTTTTTGTGGAGAATCTTTATTTGGTAATCCCTTTTTTTCTCTTTTCGCGCTTTTCGCTTTCTTTTTGTATTCCCTAACTTTTGCCTGGACAAATTCCTCTTGAATTTGATTTTGAAGTCCAGTGGGATACCCTGACTTTTGCCTAAGCGACTTGTTTTCCAAGTTTTGACTTAGCAAGGCTTTTTGTCTCTTTCTTTTACTATTTCTTTTAGTTTGAACCAGTCGTGTGATTTCGAGTCATTATTTGATTTGTTGAAAAAGTGTGACTGCCTTGCTGTTTGGTTGACGGGAAATAGCCATTATGGTATCGTCACCTTTTGACTTTTCGATGTACGAGAGATATCTATTAGGATATCATTATCATTGATGCACACTGCTGATATATAAGAGTTTAACCACTGTGGTTTTGTTCTTTCTCAACCTTCTGAAGGATAACCTTTGTTGTATCTTTTGATGTGCACTTTTAATGAGTTTTGAATGCCCAATCAGATTAACTGAAATCTACCCTGCCCCGGGTTAAATGTGAGGGTTTTTCTGAAAAGCAAAGAAACTCCTACTTCAAGGCTCAAAGGGTTTGACGAGGGTCTATCTCCCTTATATCTCCGGTGTTTGGGAATTTGAAACAAGGCCTGTACATCGTCAGCAGGGTCCTACTCAAAAGCACACCGTTTGAAATTTTTGGTATATTGTTCATCATCATCCCTTCAGATATTTTTTTTATTTAACAAGAGTAAGTATCAAAAAGTAGAGAAAAAACATTAATGAGTGAATACGAATGGATTAATTCAAGACAAACATATTCAATGCATTATGATTAATATTCAAGAATCAACAAGTTTTGCATACAAGAAAGTACTGAACCAAAGCAAGAAAGATTACAAATGAGAATTGAAAATGAAACTAGAAATTACTACGTTGAGGAGACCAGTCTCGGTATGGACTTGTTGCTTCAGATGATGATCTGGCAATCTAGACATTTACTGAGTCGAAGGAGACCTCAAATTTAACTGACTGGCCCGAAATTGATAGCCTTTGCATCAAGCAGGTCTTGCACATTTTCTTTGAAAGCCCAGCAGTCTTCAATGGAATGACCTAGTGCCCCAGCATGGTAATCACACTGCACATTAGGATTGGAATCCATAGAACAAGGAGGAATGACAGGCTTCAGTGGCTTGGGTTCCACCAAGGAAAGCTTGAGTAACTGAGAGAACAGTTGGCCATAAGTCAAAGGAACAATGTCGAACACCCTCTTAGGCTTCTTATCCTTTTGCTTACCTTGTTGCGTATGTCTTTGTTGATAGGTTTGTTGCCGAGTAGCACACTGAGCCAAGTGAACACGAGGAACATTCTGGTTTTGATTAACCAACCGATTTCCACAACTTACAAACGACTGCTGGTGAGAACTTTCCGGGATTATAGGTTATGGATGACGTGACTCCGATCGTGAGATAGAACTTTGAAGAGGAGAAGGCGTAGCCCTATTCTTTGTAGTGGTTGGCATAAGATTGATTTGCACACTTAGACCTTCGGGAGTGAAGAGAATTGTCCCTGCATCAAGCAAGTCCTGGACTTGGTGCTTAAAAGCTACGCAATCTTCAGTATCATGACCAGGTGTCCTAGAATGAAAATCGCACCTAGCATTGTCGTCAAAGCCATGAGGGCGTTTTTCATGTGTAGTGAAAATTCGGAGTTTAACCAAATGTAATTCTAGCAGGGGAGGAAGCAATTGTGCATACAACATTGGAATAGGATCAAATTTTCGTTCAGGCTGTTTTGGCCTCTGCTGACGGACTTTGCCTTTTAGGTCCTCTCGGGAAGTGACAACTTGTTGCGGATGGGAGGATCCTGGAATGCACGGTTGCAGAGGAGATACTCCCTGACCTACAAGAGTCCTCAGGTTATGGGGAGGAATGGTAACTCCTATTGTGGCAGGCATAGAAACATCTTCTTTCTTCAACATTGTCCCCAAAATTTCCATAACCAAATTCAATTGAGTCTTCAACTGAGTGTTCTCTTCTTTCAAGAGTTCTTGTCGACGGACCAAATCCTGCATGTCTAGCACCACGAATCCCATATGTTCTTTTATCTCGTCCAATTCCCCACGAAGTTGTTCCATATCTTGAATCTGACCACGAAGCGACGAGAAGTCAAGATTTGCAGCTCTGCAAAGAAAATACCGAGTCTGAATAAGGATTCCCCATTCTGAGTACCTTCGGAGTACCTGCTATGGATGCATGAGGTGAATGAGCGGATGCAATGCCATGTTCAAACATTTTTTTTTTTGCATATAATCTTTCACATTTCCTTTTTTGTGTAAAATAAACATGTTATGATGCAAGGTGCAATGACATAAGTTCAAAAGTTCAGCATAAAAATTGTACAATCCTCTGGATAACTGCTGTATAAATCTGCTGAATAATATGGATATCACAGGATCAAAGGTTCAAAACCAAATTCAGCATACAATGGAACCAAGTACCATGATTAACCGTTGTATAATCTCTGACCAAGTAAAATATATCAGGATCAAAGGTCCGGAATATAACTAGATAACCATCCTGAATACCGAATCCAGAAGAAAAAAATAAATAAATCTGAGACCCATATAGTCACCAACAGAACACCATATGCATAAGTCATTGACAGAAGTCCATAACATGATCATTAGAACCACTAATCACCATCCGATCACAGTCTCCGTCTGAGCATGAGTAACCATTTGAACATAGCACCAACTGTACCTGTAATGACAAATCCCTCCCCACTCACGGGTGAGGACTAGGTCAGGGTAAGACAATGGTAACTCGAAAATCATGGGTCCGCCTGAAAGTACTATGGGTTTACCCACAGACGTGGGTGCCGATAGTAATTCATTTGAACCTCATCCGAGCATGCTATATGACAAGACTGCACTAATCGGACCACGTCCTATAGCCGTCATGCCCCCACTCTATTCCTAGTGTCCTAGTGCACTCTGGCCTGGGTACTGGGCCTTTTACCTCAATAGTAACATCCCCACCTAACATGGAAAACAGAGTCCAGCATAATAGATAACAAATAGGGAAAGCAATAAAATGCAATGCAAACTTATGCTCAGGCAAACATGTACAAATGAGTAAACTGAAAGCATAAAAATAGACACCCAAAGAAAAGAAAGCAAGAGCTAGGAGCGACTCCGGGATGGACCAGCATTTGGTCGACCTATCCCCAGTGAAGTAGCCAGCTGAAACAACCGGCTAAAAATCATCAAACAATGAAGTCGCCATCTAACGTCTTTTATCCCACATGTAGGGAAAGGTAAACATCGAGAAAACCCGAGAAGGATGACATCAAGGTCGAACGACCAAGAGATAAGGGTAAGGGAGTCTGTTACGCGAGGGGAAGGTATTAGCACCCCACACGCCCGTAGTACTCTACGGTATCCATTCTTGTTGTCTATCTTATGGGTGTGTTTAATCTATGCTTACGGTTTATTATTGCTAAAGGGAAAGTGCATGCAAAAGAAAAGGAGAAAAGAATGTAGGGAAAATAAAATTGTGCTCGTTCGGGCCCTACCTCGATGCCTACATATCCCTTTTAAGGAATCAGAGCAGCCGTAGTTCGGCTTATATGTTTTTGTTTGTTTGTATTTTCTTTAACGAACAGTATTAATCTCGCCTTCTGCCGCAACTCGACCTTTGGAGATTTACGCATCAGCACAGAAGTGAATTAATACGCTCTTTTGAAAAGGGTTTGAAAGAAAGGCCCGAGGGCAAAAAGATTTTTATGTTTGTTGGTGTTTTTGCTTGTAGATAATAGCTAGTTAACCTCAAGAGAGAGATTTTAGCCATTTCTCTATTTATTCATGAAATGAGTCTTTGAGACTTGAATCATACCAAAGCTTAGAACAAGAGAATAATAATGTCGAGAAGAAACCCGCTCATCATCTCTCAAACTTAGCCAAGACATGGTTTTTGTGAGTAAATTTTTATGTATTTTTGAAGTTTGTAAAAAAAGTTTTTTGTTTTAACTGCATATGCAAAGGAGGAAAGAAAGTCACAGGAAGACGAAAGTCACAGGAAGACGAAAGTCACAGGAAGACGAAAGTCACAAGAAGACGAAAGTCACAGGAAGACGAAAGTCACAGGAAGGCGAAAGTCACAGGAAGACGAAAGTCACAGGAAGACGAAAGTCACAGGAAGACGAAAGTCACAGGAAGACGAAAGTCACAGGAAGACGAAAGTCACAGGAAGACGAAAGTCACAGGAAGACGAAAGTCACAGGAAGACGAAAGTCACAGGAAGACGAAAGTCACAGGAAGACAAGCCTATTTCTAAATCTAATGTTATCATACCATGCAATCTATGGGAAGTGATAAATGCGGGGTGAGAGTGGAAATAAAATATACCAAACGAGTACTAGCTCGTAGAGCAAAGTAAAAAGCAAAGAAACTTGATGATCTCATGAGCTGCTAACATCAACAAAGAAAAGAATTAGAAATCGAATGCTCGGAATAAGTGTTGAAGCATCATTGATGTGAAAATAAATCACAATCGGAACCTCAAGCATATCCGTATATCACACAATAAGCATGCATAAGACTCAAATCTCCAAAAACAAAAGTGAATCACGAGTCTCGAGTAATCAGATAATCAAGAATTAATTTCTAAAAATATCTCTTACAATCTAACATTTTTTAGGTTTTTATTATATCAATATTTTTATTAACAAAATTGTTATCTAACGACTATGAAAAGAAAAGGCTAAAGAAAAGCTAGAAAAACTCTACACAGGGGTGTGTGAGCCTGAAGTAGGGTGTGTATTGTAGTAACATTGACTCGCAGGCCCAACCCAATATTTTATACCTCACCAAAAACCAACTCCCGAAAATAATGGCCATGGACCTGAATGGTGTATACCTCGGTCCACTAAAATCATACCAAGATCCATCCACCTTTTATTCAGCTTCGTGTATCTCCACTGTTATCAATAAAAGGAATTAGAAAAACACAACAACCAAATGAATGGCGTGATTTTGTTCCCAGGGTTCCCAAATCGTGTGACGGTTAGACTTCAAGAGAAACAAAGTCCTCTTCCTTTTCCCTCAATGTTGTCGAATCACACCTCCGACTCGTTCTTTCTACTTTGGTTTCACAATTCACTCGTATCTCAAACCTCTTCTCCTCTCTTCATTGTTCGTTTTTGATCCGCCTCGGTTCACACGTCTCTCTTCCATCAACCTCTTCGCGGACTAAAATTCAAGTTTCATTCTTTGACAAAGAGCATAAAATGTAGAATGAAAGATTGAAGAAGGCTTACCAACCGGAGAAGGCACCCGGTGTCTCTTCGAGGGTGATGCCGACAACGAAAAATCTGAAGAAGTTTCAGGTACAATATCTCTTAACTTCTTTGCACGACTTCTTCTTATTTTTCTTCTTTTTCTTTTGTGAAAATTGTTAATGATTTGTATGTTGGTGTTGTTGCGGTTGTCGTTGTGAGTTGTGTTTGAGTGAGATCGTAGGAGTGTGATTTGAGTTTACAGAGAGATGATTTGATGAAGATGAAGCAGGGTTTCAGAAGTAAGTAAAAATGAAGAGTGGCTTGAAGGGTGAAGAGTATTGGTTAGAGAAGAAAGAGAGAGAATTCCAAAAACTTTTTGAGTTCTGGGTGAAAAATGAAGCGTGTTGATGGAAGAGGATAGAAAAAAATGGTGGAGAGAGGATGAAGTTTGAAACTGGAAAAGAGAAAGTATCGTCCTCTGAAACTTGGAGGGAGTTTTGGATTATATAGGTAGTTGAGGGAGATGGAAACGGTTAGAGACGTGAAGATCTGAGCCGTTGAATCAAATCAGTCAGTTACAAGATGAACGGTCAGATTTTAAGCAGTTAGAACTGTTAACTTCTATTGGTTCTGTTAATAACTGCCAGTGAAATTTCTCTTAGAAGTTAGGTATGTTAGATGTTAGGGACAAGTCAGTTGGAAGCTAAAAACTACTGTTAGAGTTAGTTTTCTAAATTCAGTAACTTGGTGTAGCTGGAGGCATTTCGGATAATGCTCCTAACAGTACAGGCATAGTAATAAGTTTAATCCATGGTTTATCAGGGAAGGCTTTGTGTGCTAGCCAAACAACTAAAGGAGCAATAGCACCAGCCAAGAAAAACCAGTTGATGGCCGAGTAGTGTCCTAGATTTCCAAATATTCCGCGAGGCCCTATCAAACCCCATATGACAGATGCATCATAGAATACATGATCACCTGGGCAAGTCCATGGGCTTCCTGGTGGAAACAATTCCCTATGGCATATATTTGGAACTGTTTCTATTAGCCACCATGTTGTTAATAGATGCACAATTGATTCAAACTAAGCAGACAAGTATAGGAAACTCAAAAGATATCCATGAGTTACTACATCAAGGTCCAGCTGCCTCAACCATTTCTTGCTCCACGGTGCTAGGGGTAACCGGGTTGTAATGGTAGTGAAGTTTACCAACATCATCACCAGACAATTTCTTCCATCCAGTTGGTCCCACGTAGTAAACGCTAGCAACCCCACCACTAGCTCCATCACGAAATGTTGCATGATAAATTGCTCTTCGAGCCAGTTCAGAAGCTTCCTCAACTGACATGTCATATTTGTACCCGCTGTCCAATACACCATAAGCATATGGTGAACCAGATCCAACTGAGAATCTAGTGCCTTTAAGTCTTCCACCTTCACTATTAACATAATATAGACCAGGACCCGTTTCATCCCATCCAGCAATCATGGTACCGACAGATAATCCCATTCCACGATAAGAGTATAAAATATTTGCAAGTAACTTAGAGGCTCCTGTTACAGAAATTCTTCTTTTATTTGCCAACTCATGCAAGCGGCACTTGATGCCAAGATTCCTATGCCAAAATTGGCGATCAGCAGCACCTCCAGCCATTGTCCCAAGCATGTATGGATTAACTTCAATAATTTTCTTCACAGACTGTGATGATATATATCCTCCCATACTAGCCCGAGAATCAGCAGCTACCATAACACCCTCCTTAAAAATAAAAGCAATAGTCGTAGTACCCTTCGCAGGCTTCACCATCTGAATAGCTTCTGTAAGGAAACCATCAAAGTCGTTGGAATTGGGAAGCTCGAAGGATGGAGGTGCGGAGATTTCTCCGGTGACGTTGCTTCCGTGTGAAATCAGTGAAGGAAACGATTCGAGACCAGATGTATCGAGCTTCATGATTGGAGGTTAGTGATTGTGACCTTGTGGTTTGAAGGATGGGTCTTCTCTAAACATTTGAGTAAGCATATCATCAATGACATTCATATAAGCTCTCAAAGGATCCCGCTTAGACATCTGCTTGGAGGTTGCTTGGGCAACAACAATAGCATTTGAAAGTTCTTGGTGAGCATCGTCAAGTTTGACAGTCATTTGGGCAATTTTGTGGGAGAGAACTTTCTGACGAGTTGCCCAATCGGCATTTCGCCAAATGCTTTTAGGAATTTCACTTAAACCAAAGCCAAGAATAAATGCACCTGTAACAAGTCCAAATGTATTTGAGCAAGTCATAGCAAATCCCAAAAGACTCCCACTCCAGCTCCTGTGCATCATAATGAGAAGAATAATTCCGAAAAGGCCAATAGATCCCACAATTAGATAGAAAACCAAATTAACATGTACACTAGTCTTCAATCTTTCTGATACAGTGAAATCCCCTGTGTTTGAGTTTTGGTTTTGGTTAATTAATGGTTTTTCATGTGTCGAGTAATTTGTATGAGCATAGGATATTTTGGCATGATTGCTTGTATTGACTTGAATTTTTTTGTATGAATGTGCAGGTCATGAACTGAAGATGAAGAACTTTGGCATGGCATGGAATTAGAAGTTTACTCATGGAATTTTAGCACCTTTAGGACTAAAGAATTTTGTTCAAGTGTATTTTGTAACAGTTTTTTTTTTGTAGAATATTGGTGTAATGGGATTGTAATGAATGTTTGGTTTTGGATGAACTTGAAATTTATAGTGTGAATTGTAAATGACCTTTGAGCTTGAAATGTTGGGTGATGAATTTTTTTGGACGGAGTTTAAATGACAAAGTCTTGAAAAAATGCTTGAAGATATGAAAGCATCAAATTTTCTTGTAAGGTATTGTTACACTTGAATGAAATTGAATGGAATTGGATAGTATTTTCTTGAATCATGAATGAGAATGAAATTGAATGGAATTGGATAGTATTTTCTTGAATAAATGTTTGAACGCATTGTGAACTTGAATCTGGAATAACGATGAACATCTTTGTAATGCGTATGAACTCTGACTTGAAACAAAACCTTGCAGTCTGTACTTTACCTTCCAAGAAAGCCATATGGCCAATACTTAAGACTCTTTGCCGACTTTAATTCAACCAAACACTTTCGAACATCTTGAACTCAAATCAAACTTCAAATCCAAATCACACTTGCATTCTCAATGAACTCCTAACTTCACTCTTGAATGACAAATAATTTGAATAGCCAATGGGATCTTAATCCTAAAAATTCACAACCTCACCCTTTTGCATCATGCCTCATCCTACGATTCAATCCACAAGTCTCTTATCTCGACGAGGTCCTTCTCTAATTGACGACCTTTAATCATCAAAGGTGTACACAAATGATAATGAAAGAACATGATCGAGATTAACATGAAACCTTATTTCCCCTGATCTTCAATTACTTGAACATTTATTGATGAATAGAAACCCTGATTTTTAATGAAATCTTCCTTTTCTGAACCAATATTTCTTTTCCCTTACCATATTATTCTTCAAATGCAACTCGAATTCCCAACACGCATATTAGATGAAAATTCAAGGGAGACCTTGGCCCCAAAGTTAATTGTTCAAAGCTTACTTTAACCAAAGTCAACAGATCTTATCCTCGTATCTTTGAACTTGGCCCATGATTATGCGTCTCAAGGTCTCATAAGAGCTTGTAAGCCCATCAACCAGGTATGCCATGTTGAACAAACCCTACCTTGAATGCCTTGAACCTTGAATTACCTTGCATGAATTCTTCTATGAGAAACCTACTTCAATCCAAACCTACTCGCATCGCAGATAACAAATGACAATGATGAGGACAATGATTTCCTTGGTTAAGGAGAAATCTATGAATTCATATCTTAGGTCATGAACCACGCTTCACAATTCAATCCTCAGCCCTTAGCGATCGGTTATTTCAACTTGAGATTAGTGTCATAAGGAACATCTTACAGATGGATGATAAAGTCTGAATCACAGAAGAATTCCCTTGATGTGAAACCCTCAGAATCTTGATTCCTCGTTCAGACGCACAGAGAAATATCCGGATAAAACATCTCTGAACCATGATTCAATAAAACCTAATTTGATTAACTGAGGAGTAGATGATTGTCATGTCACAGTCATTAATCCTAATCAAATGACAAGCATACTTATAGGAAAGGACGTCATGATTCGAAGCCCACATATGCTAGGTCACGTCCTAGAGTTCTTGACCAGAATGACCTACAATCGGTTGTTTATCAGAAGATAATAGCCTTGCTGATTGAGGGAGAAGAAGTCCTTTATTGGATATGAGCGCCTTAACCACTATGAAACCCTAGTATCGCACAACCACTGAACCTTGAACCTCAGAGATATATTGAATGAAATGTATGCCGTGTTAGTGACCTAATGAAAAAGATGCAGATGAATGCAAAAGTCTAAGCCAAAAATAAAGGAAATTAGGAGGGCAAATTTTGGGGTGCAACAGTACCCAGAGGTCTTTATCAGATGAGTAAGGTTGGATCTTTCTGACATACGATCTCAGATGCATCTTTGGGCAGGACAGACCATCATACTTAGAAAATATAGGAACTTTGAACTTGGGAGGAATGACGATCCCAGCGACCAGCCCTAGTTCTTCGAAATCCAAACCAGGTACCCTTTACAACTCTGTGGCTGCCAATCGATCCTCAAGATTTTTATATTTATCATCCGCCGGGGGAAATTGTTGTTCGGAGTAGTCTTCATCCTCTTCCTCTTCTTCCTCTTCAACTTCAGATTCAGAAGGTCCCGCAGCTCCTTTTCCTTTACCAGCCCCTTCATCAGACGTTGAGGGGAACTCGAGAACTTTTCTAGCATTGCTTTCAAACCTTCTTCCAAAAGTGGCTACTCCAGGGCCTCTTCTTCTTTTTCTCTTTATTTTTCTCCAACAGTGCTTTAAGGTCCTCTTGGCCCTTTGCTATGGTCATGAGGAGTTGCTGGAATTGAGAATTTTGTGCTTGCAGATCCTTAACCGTCTGCTCCAAATCCATCTTGCTGAAATAAACAGCAGAAAGATAAGGAAACCTGGTGTGAAGACCTGTTTATGCATATGATGAATGACGCGTTATTCATGTAATGCATTCAAGGATTCAGAAATTCAAATTTGTTGCAAACAAAAAGGAACACGCGTTATATTAAGAAGAGATTGTTAGTACATAAGTGCCCCATGGGCAAAATATTACAAAATTCTTAATGTAAAAAGACATTGTGCATCCTTTTTGGTGCGATGTAGGTGTTGAGAGTTTCCTCCTCATGAAGTCGGCGGGTAAGCTCCAAAACCTTCTTCTCACTGGCATAGAAGCTGGCTTCAAAAGTATTTCGTTCTTCCTTGAGTTGGATCCAACTCCTTTGTAATTCTTCCCATGATGTTGGCATGTCAGGATGTAGGAGGGTGTATGGAACCTCTCCTTCCATAACAGGCTCTTTGATCAAAGGGAGAATGTGAGGGTATGGCATCATAAGATTCTGGGCGCGGGTTCGTACCCACTTGAGATAAGGCTCAAGGGGGATGGAATTCTTGTGCCCTAGTGTCTTACTATCCACTTTGTTGGGCATCCTCCAAGCTATGATAAACCTTTGTCGAAGTCCTTGCGCATTGTTGTCGAAGTTAAAAACTAGGTCAGGAATCAGCATGTCATGAGGGCCATCCCTCCGAGCATATCCAAACTGTCTTAGAGCTAAACATGGGTTATAGGTAATGCCTCCCCTAATTCCAAGTAGTGGGACATTAGGGAACTCCCCACAATGATCAATGATGATGACATTTTCTCTGGACCGAGAACACTAATGTACATCAGAATGTGTGAGGGTCATCAACCGATGTGACCACCTTAAACCCCACTCATTCTTCAAAACTGATTG